TGTCCCAGTCCCATCACATCCCAGTTCCATCCCGTCCCAATCCCATTTCCATCCCATCCTATCCCAATCCCATGGATTCTATCCTAACCCCACGAATCCCATGGATCCCATGGATCCCATCCCAATCCCATCCCAACCCCATGGATCCCATCCAATCCCAGTCCCGTGGATTCCATCCCAATCTAATCCCATCCCAACCCCATTTCCATCCCATCCCATCCTATCCCAATCCCATGGATTCCATCCCAATTCCATCCCAACCCCATGGATCCCACGGATCCCATCCCAATCCCGTGGATCCAATCCCAACCCCACAGATCTCATCCCAATCCCACGGATCCCACGGATCCCATCCCAACCCTATGGATCCCATGGATCCCATCCCAATCCAACGGATCCTATCCCAATCCCACTGATCCAATCCCAACCCCACGGATCTCATGGATCCAATCCCATGGATCCAATCCCACAGATCCCACGGATCCCATCCCAACCCCATGGATCCCATCCCAACCCCATGGATCCCACGGATCCCACAGATCCCATCCCAATCCCACGGATCCCATCCCAACCCTATGGATCCCATGGATCCCATCCCAACCCTATGGATCCCATGGATCCAATCCCAACCCTATGGATCCCATGGATCCAATCCCAACCCCACGGATCCCATCCCAACCCCACGGATCCCATCCCAATCCCACGGATCCCATGGATCCCATCCCAACCCCATGGATCCCACGGATCCCACGGATCCCATCCCCGTTCCCGCAGGGAAGAAGAACCTGGAGGAGGTCCAGCAGATGCTGCAGGTGGTGGAGCAGCTCATGGCCACCCTCAAGAGCCCCAGGTGAGGGGACACAGGTGACACCGGGCCACCCTCCCCGGGACCCGCCCCCCGCCTGACCCCGTTTTTCCCGCAGCGGATAACATCCAGGAAAACCCCCGGGAAAAGCAGGAGCCGCCCAGGAAGTGCCTCCCGCAGCACGGATGGCAGAGCCCGCCCAGGGCCACCCTCCCGCTGTCCCCGTGTCCCCAAAGCCACCCCGCCTGTCCCCTCGGGTGTACCCCCGCCTCCCGGCTGGAGCGGGACAACAGCCGGCCCCGAATTCCGGGACAACTCGCCAGAATGTGTGCGTGGAAATCCATGGGAAAAGCGGGATGGGGAGCGGGAATTCCATCCCGAGGGGCTGGAAACGCCCGAGGAGGAGGAGGAGGAGGAGGGACAGGGATGTCCTTGTCCCCAGAGGAAGAGGGACCGCGCTGTCCTTGTCCCCCCCCGCCCCGAATTTCGGGACAACCCGCCGCTCGTGTGGACGGAAATCCATGGAAAAATCGGGATGGGGAGCGGGAATTCCATCCCGAGGGGTTGGAATCCATCACAGCCTCACACAGAGGGGCTGGAAACACCCGAGGAGGAGGGACAGGGATGTCCTTGTCCCCAGAGGAAGAGAGACCGCGATGTCCTTGTCCCCCCGGCCCCGAATTTCAGCACAACTCACTGGTTGTGCGGACGGAAATCCATGGAAAAATCGGGATGGGGAGCGGGAATTCCATCCCGAGGGGCTGGAAACGCCCGAGGAGGAGGAGGAGGAGGAGGGACAGGGATGTCCTTGTCCCCAGAGGAAGAGAGACCGCGATGTCCTTGTCCCCCCGGCCCCCCCGGAGCGGGGCAGGGATTAATTCCCAGGATTTATTCCCGAGATTTATTCCCGGGATTTATTCCCGAGGTTTATTCCCGGGATTTATTCCTGGGATTTATTTCCGAGATTTAGTCCCGGGATTTATTCCCGAGATTTATTCCCGGGATTTATTCCCAGGATTTATTCCCAGGATTCGTTCCCAGGATTTATTCCCGGGATTTATTCCCAGGATTTATTCCCGAGGTTTATTCCCAGGATTCATTCCCAGGATTTATTCCCAGGATTTATTCCCAGGATTCATTCCCGGGATTTAGTCCCAGGATTTATTCCCGGGATTTATTCCCAGGATTCATTCCCGGGATTTATTCCCAGGATTCATTCCCAGGATTTATTTCTGGGATTTATTCCCGGGATTTATTTCCAGGATTTATTCCCGAGGTTTATTCCCAGGATTCATTCCCAGGATTTATTCCCAGGATTCATTCCCAGGATTTATTCCCGGGATTCATTCCCAGGATTCATTCCCAGGATTTATTCCCGGGATTTATTCCCGGGATTCATTCCCGGGATTCATTCCCAGGATTCATTCCCAGGATTCATTCCCAGGATTCATTCCCAGGATTTATTCCCGGGATTTATTCCCAGGATTTATTCCCGAGGATTTATTCCCAGGATTCATTCCCAGGATTCATTCCCAGGATTCATTCCCGAGGATTTATTCCCAGGATTTATTCCCGGGATTTATTCCCAGGATTTATTCCCGGGATTTATTCCCAGGATTCATTCCCAGGATTTATTCCCAGGATTCATTCCCAGGATTTATTCCCGGGATTTATTCCCAGGATTCATTCCCAGGATTTATTCCCAGGATTCATTCCCAGGATTTATTCCCGGGATTCATTCCCAGGATTCATTCCCAGGATTTATTCCCAAGATTTATTCCCGGGATTT